CCAGACATCGGAGGATTCTCCCAGATTTACACCCTATGGCCAGAATCCTACAGAGTTGTGCATAACATAAGAGTTCTGCATGCCAAACCTGGCTATGGCTCCCCTGTCACCAGCTCCTGGAATCACTATGTCCATGCCATAGCTTCCCTCACTGCCACTCCACAGCTGGAAGAGAGCAGGAAGAATTGGAGAAGCATCTGGCTATGTTCCTATAACCAGATGCAGACTGAGGACATCTCTGCAACCGCAAAAAAGCTGTTCTTCCTAGTCAGAAGCATGTAACATTTAATACTGTGACTGTCATTCGTACATCCCAATTCACCAAAATCTACCCTGCCTTTTTCTCCTCGCGAGTGCAGCCAGCAAATACTTTGGCTCTCGACCACCTGCTCAGGAATAGTCTTTGTTCAAAAAGGCAAATACAAATCTAAATAAAGCCCATGGCCCACTGCAGCCTCAGCAACAGCATTAGGCATCAGCTAACTAACATTTTTGAGGGCATATGGTACTTTGGAAGCCATATGTATAGCTGTTTAGCGATTCTGGCAGAGAGGCGTGGAATGGCGAAATCCAACTGCCAGCATTGCTGAAAACAAATATGTAAATGCTCTAGTGCTTTTGTTATTCATGACATACCTCTCACACAGCACATACAATATGCTGTCCATTCTGTAACCAGTACCACTACTAAACCACAGTTGATTCTATTCTAGTTCTAGGGGGGAAAGTTCCTTTGATTAAACATTTGGTATTTCCTGTTATTTGTATTTCTTTCTTTCATTTTTTTAAAGCATCTGTCTCTTACAATTAAATTAATCTGAAATATTTAACCAAGAGGTTCCTGTTAGGTATACCTTGGTCAGAAAGAGCTTCTGTGGAACTAACTGCTTCACACATGGCCAGATATAAGAATAGTAATTGTATAGCAGTTTCAAATATTTAATGTACTTTATTATCAAGATCAGAAATCACTGATCTGGCCCCAAAACTACAGACTTTCATTTTGTTTCTGAACACAATCAGGTACTGGCTTCGACCTGCTAACTTGTTTTGGGAATGTCTCTTCCATAGCAGCCTGCCAAAAATGTGAGATCCTCAATGGAGGCTCTCTTGCAAATTAATGGATTTATTTCAGTTACAGATCAAAATATGCATCATATCCTCCAACTGTCCTGATTTGGAAGGGACAGTCCCAATTAATCCTCTGTCATTCCACGTTTATAGCTCCTCTTAAAATGTCCCAGTTGACATAAGTCAGAAACAACTTGAAGGCACACAGCAATGGCAACCCTGTCTGTTGACCTACTAAATTTGACTACCTAGAATCTGAGATCTTTGACAGAGGCTGTGATGCATGTCCCACCATCCTGAAAGGCTAAGCTGGCATGTCAAAGAAGCAGGGTTTCTTGAATATGAATATGAAAGTCCCTCCCAAAGAAAGGCAAGCTGGCTCCATCCTTGTTGAGCTTCCATCACACAGTCAGAAGCGTAGCTGGCTTTTGGTTTTTAAAATTTGTTAAAGTATTTTTTTAAAAAATATATTCTATCAGATATCATTTTGAAAGGCAATTAAGAAGTTAAAATGATAAAAATAACTCTTACAACAACCTTGTAAGGGGTTCATGGCAGAGGCAACATCTGAGCCAGGGACTTTGTGGAATGTGAGGAGCATGAGCCAAGGGAAGCTGGACATAGTAAAAATGGAAATGGAACACATGAATGAGTTAAAATGGACAGGAATGGGCCACTTTGAATCAAACAACCACACAGTGTTCTTCTCAGGCAATGAAAAGACAAGAAAAAACGAGGTAGCTTTCATACTAAGAAAAGATGTGGCAAAAGCAGTCAGAGGGTACAATGCAAAATCAGACAGAATAATTTCAGTAAGGATCCATGGTAAACCTATAAATATCACCATAATTCAAGTATATGCACCAATCACAGAGGCATAACAGGAAAAAATTGATAGATTCTATGAAGGAGTACAGGAAGAAATTGACAGCACATCAACACAGGATATCAAGCTGATCATTGGAAATTGGAATGTGAAAATTGGAAGCAAAGAAGAATAAAAAGAGTAAGCAGATTTGGATTAGGCAAAAGAAATGAAGCAGGTGAGTGTCTGATAGATTTTTGTGAAGTCAACAACCTATTCATTGCAAACACATTTTTTATACAACCAGAAAGAAGGTTACACACATGGACATCACCAGATGGCCAATACAAAAATCAAATGGATTATATAATTGGAAACAAAAGATGGCCAAGACTAGACCAGGCGCTGACGGTGGCACAGATCATGAATTACTCATAATAAAAATAAGAGTAAGACTCAAGAAGTAAACAAAACCAGTGATTATACCAAAATATGATCTAAATAATACTTCAACAGAATTTACTGATAACATAAGAAACAAATTCACACTACTAAGCATAGTAGACCAAGAACCAGATGAACTGTGTTCTGAAGCCAGGAACATAATAAAAGAAGAATGCAGACAGACACTTTCAGTAAACAAAAAGAATGAGAAAAACCATAGATGACAGAAAAAACGCTACAAGCAATAAAGAAAAGAAGAAAAAGAAAAGGGCGATAGGAACAAACTAAGAATTATGAATGCAACAGTACAATGGCTTGTGAGGAAAGATAAATAAAATCACTGCAATGACCAATGCAGAGAAATAGAAGACAAGAACAAAAAAGGAAGAACAAGATCTATTTCACAAGATCCAGGAAATCAAAGGAAAATTCAAACCAAGGACTGGGACGATCTGTGACAATAAAAATACCATAATTCAAGACCAGGAAGGAATAAAAAGATGGTGGATGCAATACACAGAAGAATTATACAAAAGAGATGACAAAATGAAGGACGCATGGAATGAAGAGCCATATGAAGATGAACTCCAAATCCTAAAAAGTGAGGTGGAAACTGCAATAGGAGAAATAGCGAAAAACAAATCATGAGGAATAGATGATATTCCAATTGAACTACTGCAATCCACATTGACAGAGTCAACTCTAGTGCTAACCAATATATGTCAACAGATATGGAAAACAAAACAATGGCCAACAGATTGGAAATGATCAATATACATCCCCATCCACAAAAAGGGAGACACAATAGATTGCAGAAATTATAGGACCATAACACTGATCTCTGATGCAAGCAAAATCATGCTCTAAATTTTGCAACATAGACTCCAACCATGGAAAGAGAGATCCCAGAGGTCCAAGCAGGGTTCAGGAAAGGAAGAGGCACTAGGTATCATATTGCAAACATACAATGGTGAATGGAGTACACCAGGGAATTCCAAAAGAAAATCATCATGTGCTTTATAGACTATAGCAAAGTCTTTGACTGCATAGACCATTAAAGGCTATGGAACACCCTTAAAGACATGGGAGTGCCGACACATCTGGCAGTCTTGATGAGGAATTTGTTCTCAAGACAAGAGGCTACTGTCAGAACAGAACAAGGAGAAACAGGATGGTTCGCAATTGACAAAGGGGTCAGAAAAGGCTACATCCTTTCACTCTATCTGTTCAACCTGTATGCAGTACATATTATAAGAAAGCAGGCTTGGACACAGAAGGAGGAGTGAAAATA